AAATCTGATGAGATTTGACCAAGTTATGGGGGTGGGAAGTTTTGACCTATGTCCATATAGGATATTTGAGGGTACCAATTTAGCATGAATTTTGACCAAAAATTATGTTGCCAGATTTGGATGCAGAATTGATAATGAGGCCAAACCATGAACAAAAAGCCAAACCTTATGAAAATCTGATGAGATTTGACCAAGTTATGGGGGTGGGAAGTTTTGACCTATGTCCATATACGATATTTGAGGGTACCAATTTGACATGAATTTCGACCAAAAATTATGTTGCCAGATTTGGATGCAGAATTGATCTAGAGGCCAAACCATGAACAAAAAGTCAAACCTTATGAAAATCTGATGAGATTTGACCAAGTTATGGGGGTGGGAAGTTTTGATCTATGTCCATATAGGATATTTGAGGCTACCAATTTGACATGAATTTTGACAAAAAATTATGTTGCCAGATTTGGATGCAGAATTGATCTAGAGGCCAAACCATGGACAAAAAGCCAAACCTTATGAAAATCTGATGAGATTTGACCAAGTTATGGGGGTGGGAAGTTTTGACCTATGTCCATATAGGATATTTGAGGGCACCAATTCGACATGAATTTGAACCAAAAATTATGTTGCCAGATTTGGATGCAGAATTGATCTAGAGGCCAAACCATGGACAAAAAGCCAAACCTTATGAAAATCTGATGAGATTTGACCAAGTTATGGGGGTGGGAAGTTTTGACCTATGTCCATATACGATATTTGAGGGTACCAATTTGACATGAATTTTGACCAAAAATTATGTTGCCAGATTTGGATGCAGAATTGATAATGAGGCCAAACCATGAACAAAAAGCCAAACCTTATGAAAATCTGATGAGATTTGACCAAGTTATGGGGGTGGGAAGTTTTGACCTATGTCCATATACGATATTTGAGGGTACCAATTTGACATGAATTTCGACCAAAAATTATGTTGCCAGATTTGGATGCAGAATTGATCTAGAGGCCAAACCATGGACAAAAAGTCAAACCTTATGAAAATCTGATGAGATTTGACCAAGTTATGGGGGTGGGAAGTTTTGATCTATGTCCATATAGGATATTTGAGGGTACCAACTTGACATGAATTTTGACCAAAAATTATGTTGCCAGATTTGGATGCAGAATTGATAATGAGGCCAAACCATGAACAAAAAGCCAAACCTTATGAAAATCTGATGAGATTTCACCAAGTTATGGGGGTGGGAAGTTTTGACCTATGTCCATATAGGATATTTGAGGGCACCAATTCGACATGAATTTGGACCAAAAATTATGTTGCCAGATTTGGATGCAGAATTGATAATGAGGCCAAACCATGAACAAAAAGCCAAACCTTATGAAAATCTGATGAGATTTGACCAAGTTATGGGGGTGGGAAGTTTTGACCTATGTCCATATAGGATATTTGAGGGCACCAATTCGACATGAATTTGAACCAAAAATTATGTTGCCAGATTTGGATGCAGAATTGATCTAGAGGCCAAACCATGGACAAAAAGCCAAACCTTATGAAAATCTGATGAGATTTGACCAAGTTATGGGGGTGGGAAGTTTTGACCTATGTCCATATGGGATATTTGAGGGTACCAATTTGACATGAATTTTGACCAAAAATTATGTTGCCAGATTTGGATGCAGAATTGATCTAGAGGCCAAACCATGGACAAAAAGTCAAACCTTATGAAAATCTGATGAGATTTGACCAAGTTATGGGGGTGGGAAGTTTTGATCTATGTCCATATAGGATATTTGAGGGTACCAATTTGACATGAATTTTGACCAAAAATTATGTTGCCAGATTTGGATGCAGAATTGATAATGAGGCCAAACCATGAACAAAAAGCCAAACCTTATGAAAATCTGATGAGATTTCACCAAGTTATGGGGGTGGGAAGTTTTGACCTATGTCCATATAGGATATTTGAGGGCACCAATTCGACATGAATTTGAACCAAAAATTATGTTGCCAGATTTGGATGCAGAATTGATCTAGAGGCCAAACCATGGACAAAAAGCCAAACCTTATGAAAATCTGATGAGATTTGACCAAGTTATGGGGGTGGGAAGTTTTGACCTATGTCCATATGGGATATTTGAGGGTACCAATTTGACATGAATTTTGACCAAAAATTATGTTGCCAGATTTGGATGCAGAATTGATCTAGAGGCCAAACCATGGACAAAAAGCCAAACCCTTTGAAAATCTGATGAGATTTGACCAAGTTATGGGGGTGGGAAGTTTTGACCTACATATGTCCATATAGGATATTTGAGGGTACCAATTTGACATGAATTTTGACCAAAAATTATGTTGCCAGATTTGGATGCAGAATTGATAATGAGGCCAAACCATGAACAAAAAGCCAAACCTTATGAAAATCTGATGAGATTTGACCAAGTTATGGGGGTGGGAAGTTTTGACCTACATATGTCCATATAGGATATTTGAGGGTACCAATTTAGCATGAATTTTGACCAAAAATTATGTTGCCAGATTTGGATGCAGAATTGATAATGAGGCCAAACCATGAACAAAAAGCCAAACCTTATGAAAATCTGATGAGATTTGACCAAGTTATGGGGGTGGGAAGTTTTGACCTATGTCCATATACGATATTTGAGGGTACCAATTTGACATGAATTTCGACCAAAAATTATGTTGCCAGATTTGGATGCAGAATTGATCTAGAGGCCAAACCATGGACAAAAAGCCAAACCTTATGAAAATCTGATGAGATTTGACCAAGTTATGGGGGTGGGAAGTTTTGACCTATGTCCATATACGATATATGAGGGTACCAATTTGACATGAATTTCGACCAAAAATTATGTTGCCAGATTTGGATGCAGAATTGATCTAGAGGCCAAACCATGGACAAAAAGTCAAACCTTATGAAAATCTGATGAGATTTGACCAAGTTATGGGGGTGGGAAGTTTTGATCTATGTCCATATAGGATATTTGAGGGTACCAATTTGACATGAATTTTGACCAAAAATTATGTTGCCAGATTTGGATGCAGAATTGATAATGAGGCCAAACCATGAACAAAAAGCCAAACCTTATGAAAATCTGATGAGATTTCACCAAGTTATGGGGGTGGGAAGTTTTGACCTATGTCCATATAGGATATTTGAGGGCACCAATTCGACATGAATTTGAACCAAAAATTATGTTGCCAGATTTGGATGCAGAATTGATCTAGAGGCCAAACCATGGACAAAAAGCCAAACCTTATGAAAATCTGATGAGATTTGACCAAGTTATGGGGGTGGGAAGTTTTGACCTATGTCCATATGGGATATTTGAGGGTACCAATTTGACATGAATTTTGACCAAAAATTATGTTGCCAGATTTGGATGCAGAATTGATCTAGAGGCCAAACCATGGACAAAAAGCCAAACCCTTTGAAAATCTGATGAGATTTGACCAAGTTTTGGGGGTGGGAAGTTTTGACCTATGTCCATATAGGATATTTGAGGGTACCAATTTGACATGAATTTTGACCAAAAATTATGTTGCCAGATTTGGATGCAGAATTGATCTAGAGGCCAAACCATGGACAAAAAGCCAAACCTTATGAAAATCTGATGAGATTTGACCAAGTTATGGGGGTGGGAAGTTTTGACCTATGTCCATATGGGATATTTGAGGGTACCAATTTGACATGAATTTTGACCAAAAATTATGTTGCCAGATTTGGATGCAGAATTGATCTAGAGGCCAAACCATGGACAAAAAGCCAAACCTTATGAAAATCTGATGAGATTTGACCAAGTTATGGGGGTGGGAAGTTTTGACCTACATATGTCCATATAGGATATTTGAGGGTACCAATTTGACATGAATTTTGACCAAAAATTATGTTGCCAGATTTGGATGCAGAATTGATAATGAGGCCAAACCATGAACAAAAAGCCAAACCTTATGAAAATCTGATGAGATTTCACCAAGTTTTGGGGGTGGGAAGTTTTGACCTATGTCCATATAGGATATTTGAGGGTACCAATTTGACATGAATTTTGACCAAAAATTATGTTTCCAGATTTGGATGCAGAATTGATCTAGAGGCCAAACCATGAACAAAAAGTCAAACCTTATGAAAGTCTGATGAGGTTTGACCAAGTTATGGGGGTGGGAAGTTTTGACCTATGTCCATATGGGATTTTTGAGGGTACCAATTTGACATGAATTTTGACCAAAAATTATGTTGCCAGATTTGGATGCAGAATTGATCTAGAGGCCAAACCATGAACAAAAAGCCAAACCTTATGAAAATCTGATGAGATTTGACCAAGTTATGGGGGTGGGAAGTTTTGACCTATGTCCATATAGGATATTTGAGGGTACCAATTTGACATGAATTTTGACCAAAAATTATGTTGCCAGATTTGGATGCAGAATTGATCTAGAGGCCAAACCATGAACAAAAACCCAAACCTTATGAAAATCTGATGAGATTTGACCAAGTTATGGGGGCGGGAAGTTTTGACCTATGTCCATATAGGATACTTGAGGGTACCAATTTGACATGTATTTTGACCAAAAATTATGTTGCCATATTTGGATGCAGAATTGATCTAGAGGCCAAACCATGGACAAAAAGCCAAACCTTATGAAAATCTGATGAGATTTGACCAAGTTTTGGGGGTGGGAAGTTTTGACCTATGTCCATATAGGATATTTGAGAGTACCAATTTAGCATGAATTTTGACCAAAAATTATGTTGCCAGATTTGGATGCAGAATTGATAATGAGGCCAAACCATGGACAAAAAGCCAAACCTTATGAAAATCTGAGGAGATTTGACCAAGTTATGGGGTGGGAAGTTTTGATCCATGTCTATATAGGATTTTTCACACGAATATCGACCAAGAATAATGTTGCAAGTTATGGGGATGGGAAATTTCGACCGTTAAAATTGTAATACCCTTTCGATTATCTTAATTAAAAAATCTCTCAGCACCTGGAACGTATTTTGGATGCATCCAACTTGGGCGTGATTTACATAAGCTGGGGCTCCATGGTGAATCCGAGCACTCTGCCTGCAGGCAAGCTGCAGGCGCTCTTCGATACCATCTCCCAGCTGCCCGGCTACACTTTCGTGATGCGCTGGACAAATCAGACGCTGGCCGAGAATAAGCCCAGCAATCTGCACACCTACGAGTGGCTGCCCCAACGGGATCTGCTGTGTCATCCCAAGGTAAAGGCGTTCGTCTCACATGGCGGTCTACTGGGCACCACGGAGTCAATTTATTGTGCTGTTCCCATGCTCGTAACGCCCTTCTACGGAGATCAGTTTCTGAATGCCGGCGCCGTTGTTCAGCGCCGCTTTGGTGTCATTGTAGACTTTGCAGATTTTGATGAGCCTCATCTTACCCAGGCGCTACGCACCATATTGCACGAGGGGTGAGTTTTTATATAGATCTAGATTTTTTACATACACTCAGAGAAAAAACTAAGACATTTTCTACTTCAATGAAGCACGAAGGTATTAAATGTCTATATATTTATAAAGTTTTGTATCCTTTTCAAGAAAGAAATTATTTTTTCAAGAACTTTGAGTTCAGATATTCCCTAATTCAAGACTTTAAACACTCTTTACTTAACTTAAGCGTTTTTACTTTGAAATCAAGCTGTAAGCTGGTTCAAATTCGGCTGACTAAACCAGAAAAAAAAACATCCAAGGCATGCAATATTATACAATAAAAACATTTGAGAAAGATGCAGCCTCAAAACATGAATAATACCGGTCCCATTCATTGGATGTATTCAACCAAATTGGGTTCATTCTAATTTTGAGTAAAGATCACATTTAGCCCGTAACTTCAGTATGAAAATATATTTGAAATGCAATATTTTCAGTAGAATGGGCAATTATAAGTAAATTTAATTGTTTCGTTTAAATATAGAAATAATTCAAGAAATTAAGGTTTGAACCAATACCCAGGTTCAAAGCTGTTAAAAAACAGCTTCACAAGGCAGGAAGCTGGTTCGAATCGTGATTTTATTTTGAGTGTCGCACTTAATATTCAAGTACCAATTACTTAGAATAAATACAACAAGACATTACGAATTCGAGCTATATACATACATATATGTATATACCTCATCCCTCCCCAAAACTTTACGAATTCTTACTATATATATATATATATGCCTCATTACATCTAGACCAAGCAAACTAACTGTGACTCCTTACAGCTTTGCAACTGAGATGAAACGCTCGACCATTGCCTTCCGGGAGCGTCCCCTGGAGCCCCTAGAGCTGGCGATCTGGTGGATCGAGCACGTGATCGCCTCAAGCGGTGCCCCACTCTCGCAGAGCGTGGCAAGACATATCAATTGGTTTGTTTATAACTCGATCGATGTTTATGTGTGCTGTTTGACGGTCGCATTGCTCGGTCTCGGCGGCGTCTGGAAAATTTGTAAGCTCTTGAAATGGGTCTGTGGCAGGCGCACGTCACCCAAAACCAAGCAACAATAAATAGCGCATGATGTACTCGTGATCACTGCAAATACACGTGTTTCCATTGCCCCATAAAACTTATCAATATCACAATGAGTGCTACTTAATTCGATTCGTGAATCGCTAGACAAGAGCTGAGTTTCGTGCCGAAGAAAGCTACAATTCGGGGCCTACCTCAAAAAATTATACGCTTCATTTATAGGCACTTTGTTAGATGACAATGGAATTTTTTGCTCAATTCGAATATGCATTATCTTTGGAACGCTTGACTATACCCTGCCTGAAGTTATTATAAATTTGTCATTGAATATGTAACGCATGAACCGTGACTTTATAGCATATAGAAAAGTTTATATTTCCATTTGGTTTTCCCAGGCTTTTAACGAGCAGCAAAAATTGGACTATTATATAAAAAACTAAAAATTTCAAAATTATATGTAGGCAAACTCAGCAATTACGAGTTTCACTTTTGCTTCATATACCTTAAGTAACACATTTTAGCATCAGACTGATATTATCTATATTTTCATATTTTTTTTTTAAGGAATCTAAATCAAACTATTATATCATATTGTTCCTATCGAAGCGATCCGCTTAGAAGGTTTTCTTAATTTACGCAAGAGCATGAAATATTCTCCAAAGATAACTGTTAATTTTCCGTTCATTTATTTGTTCGTTAGTCGCTAAATGTGTATCTATGTACCCATTCCCCCATACCCTGTGTACAACACTTATCAGTTACAAATTTGCTGACTAACGGAAAATGGCACCTGTAAAAAGTCATTAGATCGAACATTTTTTTTTTTTGTATATCACGCCTTGCATAAGGCAAATACACTACTCTATTAAGTACAGTAAACAATATTTATCAGCGACACCAACTTGTTACCAGACAGTAGCCAGCCATCACGTTTCCTGTGCTTGACTGTATAAAAAACTCATAACCGATAAGACGTAAGCCTAAATAATAAAATTTGTTTGTTTATTCGTCTCGTGCAGCTCAGGTTGTAGCACCCAAGATATATATGTATAAAAGCAAAGGTTCTCAAGGTGAATGTCTTCACATGCAAAGGAGCGCAAAATGGGATGTAAAAAGTTGACAGCAAACGATTGCGCCATACCCTGTGCACAGCTTAAATACTAGTTAGGTCAGTCAAAAAGTATTGAGGGTTCTTCGCAAACTATTTCAAAGTAGTGAAAAATATTGAATACACGTTTAGGAACGCGAATTTTATACCTATATATTTAATATTTCAAGTATATAACATCCATTTCTGACTAACGGCAGAACACGGCTTAAAAGCAATATGCTCTAGTAAACTTTGTGAACGGGGTATCACAACTGATTGCATGCATGTGTGCGTTGCTGACTCTGCAAATTTTGATGAGAGCATTTAAACTCACAGACAAAGCAGTGCTAAACGGCGACAACGCACGCACTGTGCAAGTAAAAGAGAGAGAGAGAGAGAGAGCAGAAAGCAGCCAAAACGGCGCTGATCACCAATGCATGCTCAATTTTCGACGATTCATCAGCAACGCAGCCGACACAGCATTTAGGTTTCGGCGTTTACGCAAGCAGTGTGTGAGCAAAAGAGACTAGAAAATCATATATATTACTGCCGATCACCAATACATGCACAATTGCACGCTCATTTTTTTGGGCAAGACGGCAGCAGCAGCGCAGTCAGCGTCTTTTCGGCTACGCGGCCGCAACAAATAAACGGTGTTTGTCAGTCGCTCGACAACAGCGAAGCGCGTAACAATAGTTTATATCGTGTTGCTTTTTGCTTCGATAATTTAATTGAGCCTCGCATTTTTAGTGAATTTGAGTGCTGCTCAATTCGCAGCCGCAATTAGCGTCATTTCGCCACAGCTTTGGTAAGTTATCATTTTACAGCAATTTGTGCGTTTTCTTTGCCATTTTACACAGCAATAATTTACATAATTTCTGTGCCATGCGCAGAGCGAAATGCAGCCAAGGTCAAGAGTTTGCAACAATTGCATGCAACAAGTGTTATTTTACGAACTGTTCGATTTTTCAATTTGTTTTCTAATTTTAATTTATGCTACGCATGCCAACAGAGACAATGCTGCTGCTGCTGCTCCGCCCGCTGCTGGCAGCGCTGCTGACGCTGCTCTGCGTTCAAGTGGACGCCGGCCGCCCGCTGAAAGTTCTCGGCCTGTTCCCGCATCCCGGCGTCAGCCATTTTCACTTCTTTCAGCCCATAATGCACGCCTTGGCCGAGGCAGGCCACGATGTTAGCGTGGTTAGCCATTTTCCGGCTAAAAACCCGCCCATACGCTACAAGGATTTTCCGCTAACGGGCACGGAGAAGCTAACGAACAGCGTGGACTTGAAGGTGAGCAACTAAATTGGCATTTTGTATATGTTAGGGGTATTCAGGCCAATTTCAGCAGAATTTAAACAATCTGTTGTGAGATGTGCAGGCATACCCCTAACATTGCTCAAGGATTGCCTCAAGGTATTCAAAACAATTGTCTGAGATTTGCTTTCATTTTCATTATGATTTATACCTATTGCAAAATAGTTAAGGCCTTTTATAATATAGTAGAAATAAGTGTTACGGCCAGAGAGTTACATATCGGACCCAATAGTGTATATACTCTTGTCGCATATTTAAATTAATTTTTGTTTCTTGAAAATCGACCAAAATCTCGGACTTTATAACTATCAGCAAAATTTAGCAGAGGTTCTCGTCAAGAATTCTTTGCCTTGTAATACTCCCCCCTTTTCCGATAAAATAAGTGAAAATATTTCACGAACCCAAATTTTAAATAAGCACATATTTCCTTTTATGTAGGCCAACGTAGATAAGCTATATTTATCTTATTGGTCTCCTAGTGGGAAGCCAAAAATTTCCTATGACTTTTTTTTTGTATAGGCACAAGTTTATGTGCTATTTTTAAGTTCCAAAACTTTCCCAGCATTTCGACAACAATTGGGCCTATATGTGCTCGTTGATTTTAGCTGATTAAATTGGGCCATTTTTAATCTTTCTAATAGCAAATATGAAATACTAAAAAAAATAAAGTAATTACCTTTATCTCCTGCGAATAAATAAATATTGATCCAACGTATATTATGCCATTTAGCCACTTTTTACAGGATAACTCATAGTCGTGCATGCTATCTCTTTTGTCTAGTTGAGCATTCGCCAATTCATCATCAAAAACCTGAAAGCAAAAAAAAAAAAAAAATGGTGTCAAGCGAAAGTAAACTCCGGATGAAGTAATTCTCTCTCTCTCTCTCTCTCTAACACACATTCTCTTTCTCTCTCTTGCACACTCTCTTGCAGTTCTTCGAGAAGCGACCTTTCTACAATCATTTTATTGAGTTCTTTCTGCTGCACGAGTGGGGCAAAGAGGCATGCAACTTGACGCTGCGCTCGGAGGCCTTGCAGACGGTGCTCAAGCGTAAGGCTGGCTACTATGACGTCATCGTTCTGGAGCAGTTCAATACGGACTGCATGATGGGCGTGGCACATCAGCTGCAAGCACCAGTAGTCGCCTTGAGCAGCTGCGCCATGATGCCCTGGCACTACGAACGCATGGGCGTCCCAATCATACCCTCCTATATTCCAGCTTTATTCATGGGTCAATCGCAGGACATGAACTTTGGCGGCCGTTTGGCCAACTGGTTCAGTTTCCATACACTCAACTGGTTGTACAAGTAGGTATACGAAACAAAAACCGAGGGACTATTTACCAAATCTGTTCGATATTCAAACCAACGTAGTTCGTTTTGCTCGAATCTGCAACATGTTCGAGCTAACCGTTAGCTCGAACACAAGCGAGCTCGAATCAGTTCGAGCTTGTTTTAACGACCTGCTCAATTGTTTGTTTGCAACTCGAACAGCTCGAGTCGAAAGAGTTTGAGTATTGAGTATCGATAACCACGTTGCGCTGCAGGGCTCTATTCACTGGGAACTATTCACGACTAATTGCACTCGATTTCAGACTCGTCTCCATACCCGCTGCGGATGCGCTGGTGCAGTACAAGTTTGGCCACGATGTGCCCTCGGTGGGCGAACTGGTGAAGAACACCTCCGTCTACTTTGTGAATCAACACTATTCGCTGAGCGGTGCAAAGCCGTTGCCGCCGAACGTCATCGAGCTGGGCGGCCTGCACATCCAGAAGGCCAATCCGCTGAGCGCCGAGCTGCAGCGTCTGCTCGACAATGCCGAGCATGGCGTCATACTCATCAGCTGGGGCTCCATGATACGCGCCAATTCGCTGTCGCCGGAGAAGCGCGACGGTATTGTGCGCGCCGTTGCCCGACTGAAGCAGCAGGTCATCTGGAAGTGGGAGAACGAGACGCTGGCCAATATGCCGCCAAATATGCACATCATGAAGTGGCTGCCACAGCGCGATATACTCTGTCATCCCAATGTCAAGGTGTTCATGACCCATGCCGGCCTCATGGGCAGCTCCGAGGCGGCCTATTGTGGTGTGCCCGTTGTGGCCACGCCCATGTATGGTGATCAGTTCCTAAACGCGGCCGCCCTGGTGCAGCGTAATATGGGCGTGCTGCTGCACTACGAGGACATTGGCGAGAATACCGTACTGAAGGCCCTGAAACGTGCTCTGGACAAGAAGTGAGTCGTTGCCTCAACATCCTGTACCTATTCAGGCCGTGGAAAACATCTATGAGCTCTTCACTTAACTATATACAAGATCAATAGTCGAGTCAATCCACAGCCACGTCCGCCTATATGTTTGTCCATCTGCATTAACAGACTGGGCTGAGCATAGTTTTCTATGCCATATCAATATTACCTCAAATTATCGACTACTAGAATGTTAAGCTAAGCGAAGAATACAATATGTCCCACAGGGTATCTCCTAGTCGGTCAATCTCGACTAGTTCTCGCTTACCATTTGTTTGATATATTATTTCCTCGTTCCAGGTACGCGGATGCTGCTAAGCTAGTCGCGCACTCCTTCAAGTATAGACCGCAACAGGCGCTGCAGACGGCCCTCTGGTGGGTGGAGCATGTGGGTCACACTGGTGGGAATCCGCTGCTGAAATCCAGCGCCGTGGAGCTGTCACGTTTTGTCTACTACTCGCTGGACTGCTATGCGACAGTTGGTATCATTTTGGCCATTGTGATTGCCAGCTGGGTGGCCCTCATAAGACGCTGTCGCGCCAAGCGACCGGAACAGAAGAACAAAAGGGATTAAATCGATTTGATCCTTAGCTTAGTCTATGTGATATTTTCCATGTGAACGTCTGTTAGTGTTCCATTTTAGTTTAGTGACTCCCGCTCCTAAAAATTTAGATATAAAGTTGGAAATGTTGTGCTTATACTTTTAGCTTGTATCTAAAGAATGTTAGATATGGGATATGGGTTAAACACTTGAGGTGTCCAAAAGAAACCTAAAAAATAATCTATAAACATGTATAGACTGGAGTACTTGTCCAAAAAGAAATCTAAGATCAGTTGAAAGACAATATAAATGTTTATATGACCACATAGAAATGTTTATATTTGATCTTTGCATTAATATTCAAAGGGTCAAGTTTTTTGGAGTACTTAATCGGCTCTGTAGAAAATTGAATATTCAAAATTATTTAATTAATATTTATATTTTATGTAATTGATTCGAATTTAAGCATTAATATTAATGCAGAAATAAATTTTGCTGTCTCAGCGCTTTTTAAAGAGAACGCGGAATATGCCTTTAACCCGTTGAGAATTTTAAGCGCAACCGTGTGAGAATAGTCTTAGACATGCAATTTGTACTCGTATTTTGTTTATTATACATATCATCTCTTTAACTCTTGCTGTCGATTACCCCCATACGAGATATGCGATATTTTTATAGATGCTCAAAACTATTCTTAAAATGTTCGCTCAGTTGCGAAACGTTGCGTGGCCCAAACGAACGTCTTGTGCGGATTTGCGATATTATAAAAGTGCATTCTAAAAGTGCTCCCAGTTTTAATTATAGCTGTGCATCCATAAGTGACATTCTTATGATCTATATGAGATACATTCTTGCTTAGCATTGGTTTCAAAGGAAAATGCAGGCAATTTGTGCTTGGAAATTGTTGCTGCTGCTTTCACTGTTTTCAGTGAACAGCTCAACGCACGCCCTGAAAATCTTGGGCCTCTTTCCCCATCCAGCGCTCAGTCATTTTCAGTTCTTTCAGCCACTGATGCGGCGACTGGCCGAAACGGGCCACAATGTGGATGTGGTCAGTCCATTTCGGTATATACATCCGCCGACGGGCTACAAGGACTACGCCCTGCCCAGCGCCAATTTGAATGATAAAATTGGCTTCGATGTGAGTGAATTGGAATGGGTCTCTATAGCTATCTATAGCTAAATATAATATATATATATATCTATATATATATATATATATATATATATAGATATATTGATTGACTAACGGACAATTCACGCAGAGAGGGAAGCTCAATCTTTTAAGTCAGGGCTCAGGGGAATTTAAAGAGTTGGTCAAGAATTGTTAAAAGTGTGCTTTGACGTCTCTGAGCGTTGAACTAACAAGCGAGAGATTGCCAGCTCAAGAGCATCATTAACAATTTTAATATTCATAAATATGTATAGAAAATCAGAGTATTCACCTTTGTCCGCAGATGTTTGAGAAAGTTGCTATGCCCCATCTGATGCCCTTCACCGAGTTCTTCATTCTGCACGGTTATGGCAAGGCTGCCTGCAATACCACGCTGAATAGCGCGGCACTTGCGCAGATACTCAGGCATCCGACTGGCTACTATGACGTCATCGTTCTGGAGCAGTTCAATACGGACTGCATGATGGGTGTGGCACATCAGCTGCAGTCGCCAGTTGTGGCCATGAGTAGCTGCGCCCTGATGCCCTGGCACTACGAACGCATGGGCGCACCGATAATACCCTCCTATATGCCAGCCTTATTCCTGGGTGAATCGCAGCATATGCACTTTGCTGGTCGCCTGGGCAATTGGTTAACCACGCACGCGCTCAATTGGCTCTATGGGTAAGCGGAAGTGGATGCGGTTGCGGCTAACAGATGAAAAACCTTTCTTTTTGCCCGCAGCTGGTACAGCGTGCCCGCCGCCGATGCGCTGCTGCGTCAGAGATTTGGAGCGGGCCTGCCCAGCACTGGTGAGCTGGTGAAGAACACTTCGCTTATGCTCGTCAATCAGCATTACTCGCTGAGCGGAGCCAAGCCGCTGCCGCCGAATGTCATCGAGGTGGGCGGGCTGCATGTAAGCCAGGCCAAGCCTTTGCATGATGCACTGCAACAGCTGCTGGACAAGGCCAAGCATGGTGTCATAATCATAAGCTGGGGCTCCCAGCTGAGAGCCAACACGCTGTCCGACGCCAAGCGCGAGGGCCTGCTGCGTGCCTTGGCGCGTCTACCGCAGCAGATCATCTGGAAGTGGGAGAACGTGACTCTGGCCGAACAACCACCCAATGTGCATATCATGAAGTGGCTGCCACAGCGCGATCTGCTGGCGCATCCCAATGTGCGGCTATTCTTCACACACGGCGGTTTGATGGGCGTCACAGAGGCCGTGGCCAGCGGCGTGCCCATTCTGGGCATGCCCGTCTATGGCGATCAGCATCTGAATGTGGCCGCCCTGGTGGAGCGTGGCATGGCCGTGCGACTAGACTTTGAACGCCTCCGCGAGCAGACGGCATTCGAGGCATTGTCTCAGGCGCTGGATGCCAAATACAAGCGGCAGGCGCAAAAAATTGCCGCCGCCTACAACGAGCGTCCACAACTGGCGCTGGAGACCGCTCTGTGGTGGGTGCAACATGTGGCCGAGACACGTGGCGCACCGCTGCTGCAGTCCGGCGCGGTACGACTCAATCGCTTCGTCTACTACTCGCTGGACGTCTATGTGGCCCTGGCCTGTGCGCTGCTTCTATTCCTGGCCATCGCCACTGAAATCTGGCGACGTTGCTGCAAGCGCAAGCAGCCAGTGGAGAAGCCCAAGCGCAGCTAATTAGCTGGAATGGCTGGAACAGAAAATAAAGTTATATACAGTGAATGCTCTAGACTAACGGAGAGCTTACTTGGAGGAACTGCGTCTTTAGCCAACAAATTTGATTTCTCCTTGGGCGGACGCAGGAATCCCCTTTAGAACCTTCCAAAACAGCAATAAAAGTTGATGGAATGAAAACGCTTTATCCAAAACCTGTGAAATAGTTATTCGTTGGCGACTTCTCCTTCCAGTCAGTCTCCTTCGAGTCTCGTTTATGTGTTATCTAATTTCATTTGTGAGCATAATTTAACCTGATGATCGCATCAATCAAATATATTACTTGTTCACTTAGATCTTTCTGCATGTTTTTTTTTTTTTTCGCATTTTCTGATATTTTTGACAGCCAAGCGTGAGACGCCCAGCGGAGGGCGGCCTTGCTCTTGTAGGTGACCAGCACATTGGCCGAGAAGCAGTCCTCTGGCTTGTAGCCGCTCTTGGCGATCATGCGTTCCGAGGCCAGGCGAGTCATTTCGTAGCCAGCAATCTTCATTAGGCCAGGCTCCATCTTCTCAAAGCTCACCAAGGCCAGCACACAGTCGGCGTTGCCCGGCTTCACGAGCCGCTTGGTCAGATACACAGCAGTCGATCCTATCTAGCCAGTCATGCCCACCTCGTAGACCGCATGGGCAGCTGGTGGATTCCCCGTAGACATAACCCACAACAGCCTGTTGCTTCGTACTTAATGTTGGCATCCTGCAGCGCCTTCTTTGGCAAAGGCCGACGCGTCGGCCATGTTGCACGAACTAAGATGTCGGATGTCTGTTAAAGACGAGCTTAAAAGTTAATTTTAGAATTCGTATCTTGGTCATGCCAACGCCGATAACGTGGACACTTGTTTTCGTCATTTTGTGATGCTTCTCTTGTGGGCGGCGTCGAGAAAACAAATGTTCGTGGTAACTATAAATGCGCACAAAAAAACAAATGTTCGGGCTACAAATAACTGTGCACTAAAATAACTGTTAAGTTAGTTCAATTGAACAGGTTCTTTTTTATATAGCGCGCCTTTTGGTATTTTACTTATCGAACCTTTGGTATTTGGTATTATTATTTGGTATTTATGCGTTTCGGCAAGGCCAATAAATAATGAATTCAAAATTGTTAATTTACTGATTTTAAGATTATAAAAACCATAATAAAGTCGAAAATTATTACACATTCATAATATAACCACAATGCGCTTAAAGAATACAAAATACAATGCAACATATATTTACAAAATCAAACAAATTATTTACAACTTTGCTTTAGTAGCGCCCGGGAAGCCCAGACGATAGAGAGCCACCACAACAGCACCACCCAGACCCAGGTTGTGCTGCAGGGCCAGCCGAGCGCCGTCCACCTGACGCTTCTCGGCCAGGCCACGCAGCTGCCAGCAGAGCTCGGCGCACTGAGCCAAGCCTGTGGCGCCCAGCGGATGGCCCTTGGAGATGAGCCCGCCACTGGGATTGATCACAAATTTGCCGCCATATGTGTTGTCGCCACGATCGATGAACTCGCCGGCTTTGCCCTCGCCACAGAGACCCAAGGCCTCGTAGGTGACCAGCTCATTGGCCGAGAAGCAGTCGTGCAGCTCCACGACCTGCACATCCTGTGGCTTGTAGCCGCTCTTGGCGAACAGGCGCTCCGAGGCCAGGCGAGTCATGTCGTAGCCAGCAATCTTCATGAGGCTCTTGTCGGCGAAAGTCGATTCCGGATCGCTAGCCATTTCCATGCCCACAATCTCCACGGCCTGCTTCTCCAGACCATGACGACGCACGAACTGCTCGGAGGCCAGAATGGCGGCACCAGAGCCATCTGAGGTGGGACAGCACTGCAGCTTGGTCAGCACGCCCTCGACCACCTGCGGCGACTTCATAATCTGCTCCAGGGTGTATTCATCGCGGAACTGCGAGTAACTGGAGCAACAGGCGAACAAAAATAAATAAAGTCCGATTAAGATAAGAGCGAGTGCAGCGATCAACTGAATGGCCAATGTTCAAAGAGAGGATGGCCCCGCAAGCACGATAAGCGATAAGATAAGTGCCTCCTCTACTTATTATGCGAACGAACTTTCGACCGGGCGTTAATCAATTCACCTAAAACTTACGGATTATTGACGGAGTGCTTGTGGTTCTTCCAGGCAATCTTGCCAAAGTGTTCCGGCTTTGTGCCGTACTTCTTCATGTGCTCCTTGCCGGCATTGCCGAAGATCTGGGCAGCCATTGGACCGGCGCCGATCTCCGTCAGCTCACCCATTTCGGTGATGTGGCGCTCCATGGGATTGGCACGGTCAAAGTACTAACAACAAAGATGGTCTGGATAAGCGGATATTATGTAGAGTTCAAGGGTTGTGATATAGATACCTTCGCGGCCAAAGAGCCGCGCTCCATCTTCTCGAAGCCCAGAGCCAGCACGCAGTCTGCGTTGCCCGACTCAATGATCTGCTTGCCCAGGTACAAGGCACTCGAGCCCGTCGAACAGTTGTTGTTCACGTTGTAGACGGGAATTCCGGTCATGCCCACTTCATAGACCGCACGTTGTCCGCAAGTGGAGTCGCCATAGACATAGCCCACAACAGCCTGTTGCACCTCCTCGTACTTGATGTTGGCATCCTGCAGTGCCTTGGTGACTGCCTCCTTGGCAAAGTCCGGATAACAGACGTCAGCGCGGCGACCAGGTTTCTCGAACTAAGGCAGATCTCAATTACAGGCAAGATCAAAGGTCGCTTTAACAATACGTACCTTGGTCATGCCAACGCCGATAACGTAGACTCTGGTCTTGGTCATTTTGTGGTGCTTCTGTTGTGGTCGGCGTCCAGAAAACAAGTGTTTGGTGGACTTGCAACCGGTCGCGAGTTTACCTCTGCATTTGTGGAATCAGTTCAATTGGAATGTGCTTTCATTTTGAGCAAGTTTAATTTAATGTTCCGAACCAGTTTAATTGAGGTGCCGCCATTTTACTTGCTTGATATTTTGGTTGTAGTATTTAAGTGTTCTTTGGGTTTTTCTGGCCAACGAATAGCTGGTCACACAAAATTCCATTTTACTGGCATGCCGTTTCCAATTCCTGGTCAGCTTCAATAAGCTACAGCCTGTCCCGAGGGCAGCAATAACAATATCCATCGGAAAAATGCACATGAAAATAATTAAATAAGTGGATATGTACTACCAAGGGACTCGATGTGTGGCTATACGTATTTAAGGTGGTGGCCATTAGCCACAGAGGTCCAGTGTGTTTGCGCCAGAATATGATTTGATGCTTCAGGTAAGAGCATACACTTTTGTCGTAATTATTCGTCTTAGCCCACATATACATATAATGTCCCATTAAGTCGGAGATGGTGTCTATCCCACGTAGTTTTTTCTCAATATGCCATTTTCTTTGTAGTGTTTTTTATGAAATATAAGCAATTAAAAGTTGCCGATAGCGCGGTGTTAGCATGGTTGTCGAGTGTCGTGCAGCAACGATACCACTTGACGAAGAATGTCCGATAGTTTTTAACTATCGTGAACGCTTCGAGATGAGCGAATGAACTGCTAACTATCGATGATGAATCATTACAAATATCGAATTTTCGATTTGGCGGAGTCTATTGTGTATTTAAAATGCCAATTAGCACAATATAACTGAAAATAAGTTCAGATTTTAAATTATCAGCACGGATATTGATCTTGTATCTCAAGTTTCTTGTGAGGTTAACACAATTAAAAGCGTTTTCATCTACATTTAGGCATTTTTTAGAACATACATATTAAAAATGAAGTTATCCATATGCAAAACAGACTTTTAAGAATTTTATAAAGTTTTCAATTAAAACATTATATTATAAATCCATTTTGATAATATTGTTTCTCTTAGCACGATGACAGATTTTTGGACAGTGTAGACACTTGTAAGCCCGGTGACCAATCTGACAGCGCTTGTGCTCATCGTACTTGGCTTTCTCTGAAGTGTTTTCTGCAGTGAATACACCTTGAGGGAGCTTTACCTGCATTAGTAAAGATGTGGATGCGCAGATGCTTTGGGCTTTGGGGCAATGTGGACACTGACATGGTCATTCGTTCGAATGCGTACGTAAGTGACTTGTGAGCATAAATTTGGTCTTGAAGGCCTTTTGGCACTGTGGGCATAAATATTGTTTCTTTTTAGCATCTATTCTAGGCTCGTCAACAGCAAGAGGATCGCAAATTTCGTGGCGCTCGTGGCATTCTTCGTAGTTCTGTAAGCTTATTTCGGTTTGTTCCTCTTCAATGATATCTTCCTTATCCTTCACTTCATTGCTGCAGCCTATTTCATTATCTTGCCCGGCCAGCTCGGAGTTTTCTATTTCAACCCGTTCAGACTGGACATCAACCTCACTGTTGTTTGTGGGATGAATTAAAATGTGTGCTTTAAAGAATGAAATAGTAGTAAATATTTTTGGACAGTGTAGACATTTGTAAGCCCGGTGGCCAATATGAAAGCGCGTGTGTTCATCGTACTTGGCTTTCTCTAAAAAGTATCTTCTGCAGTGGGGACACTTAAGGGCAGTTTTCCCCTTATGAGTAGATATGTGGCAGCGCAAAATCCAGAACGTTTTAAATGTTTTCGGGCAATGTGGACACGGAAATGGTCGTTCGCTCGAATGCAAACGAATGTGAACATTGAGACTAGATGTATTCTTACAGGCCTTTTGGCACTGTGGGCATATAAATTGTTTCTTCTTAGCATCTATTCTAGGCTCGTCAACAGCAAGAGGATTGCCAATTTCGTAGCGCTCCACGGTGCATTCTTCGTAGCTGTTTGAGCTTAGTTCAGTTTGTTCCTCCTTAATGTTAACTTCACTATCCTTTACTTCTTTGCTGAAGTCTATTTGATTCTCTTGCTCGGCCAGCTCCCAGTTTTCTATTTCAAGCAACTCGGACTGGACATTTATCTCACTGTTGTTTGCGTGATGAATTAGAATGTGTTTTTTAAACCTTGTCTGATCAGAACAGATTTTTGAACAGTGTGGACATTTGTAAAGCCGGTGGCCAATGTGACAGCGCGTGTGTTCATCGTACTTGGCTTTCTCTATAAAGTATTTTCTGCAGTGCGGACACTTAAAGGTAGTTTTCCCCTTATGTTTATAAATGTGGTTGCGCAGATGCATGAACTGTTTAAAGGCTTTGGGACAATGTGGACACTGAAATGGTCGTTCGCACGTATGCGTACGCATGTGCGATTTGAGGCTAGTTTTATATTTATAGGCTTTAGGGCATTGTGGGCATATAAATTTTGTTTTTTTAGCATCTATTGTAGGTTCGTTAACAGCAGTCGTGCATTCGTCGTAGCTCTTGAAGCTTAGTTCAGTTTGTCCCTCACTGTTGTTTGCGTGATGAATTCGAATGTGGTTTTTAAACCTTGTATAATGAGTACAGATTTTTGAACATTGCGGACATTTGTAAAGCCGGTGCCCAACATGAAAGCTCGTGTGTTCATCGTACTTGGCTTTCTCTAAAAAGTATCTTCTGCAGTGAGGACACTTAAAGGCAGTTGTCCTATTATGAGTATATACGTGTGAGCGGAGAATCCCGAATCTTTTAAATGCTTTCGGGCAATGTGGACACTGAAATGGTCGTTCATCCGAATGCGTCGTACTTAAGTGACTTGTGAGCATAAATTTGGTCTTGAAGGCCTTTTGGCACTGTGGGCATATAAATTGTTTCTTTTTAGCATCTATTCTAGGCTCCTCAACAGCAAGAGGATTGCTAATTTCGTAGCGCTCCGCGGTGCATCCTTCGTAGTTCTCTAAGCTTATTTCAGTTTGTTCCTCTTCAATGATATCCTCCTTATCCTTTACTTCATTGCTGCAGCCTATTTCATTATCTTGCCCGGCCAGCTCGGAGTTTTCTATTTCAACCCGTTCAGACTGGACATTAACCTCACTGTTATTTGTGGGATGAATTGAAATGTGTGCTTTAAATGATGAAATATTAACTAATATTTTTGGACAGTGTAGACATTTGTAAGCCCGGTGGCCAATATGAAAGCGCGTGTGTTCATCGTACTCGGCTTTCTCTAAAAAGAATTTTCTGCAGTGAGGACACTTAAAGACAGTTTTTCCCTTATGGGTAGATATGTGGGAGCGCAGAATCGCGAATATTTTAAATGATTTTGGGCAATGTGGACACTGAAATGGTCGTTCGCCCGAATGCATACGAATGTGAACATTGAGGCTAGATATATTCTTATAGACTTTTGGGCATTGTGGGCATATAAATTGTTTCTTTTTATCATCTATTCTAGGCTCATTAACAGCAAGAGGATTGCAAACTTCGTGGTGCTCCACGGTGCATTCTTCGTAGCTGTTTGAACTTAGTTCAGTTTGTTCCTCCTTAATGCTTTTCAAACTATTCTTTACTTCCTCGGTACAGCCTATTTCATTATCTTCATTGCTGCAGCCTATTTCATTATCTTGCCCGGCCAGCTCGTTGTTTTCTATTTCAACCCGATCAGACTGGACATTTACCTCACTGTTATTTGTGGAATGAGTTAAAATGTGTTCTTTAAAAAATGTAATATGGGTATAGATTTTTGGACAGTGTAGACATTTGTAAACCCGGTGGCCAATGTGATAGCGCGTGTGTTCATCGTACTGGGCTTTCTCTAAAAAGAATTTAGTGCAGTGAGGACACTTAAAGACAGTTTTCCCCTTATGAGTAGATATGTGGGAGCGCAAATTCTCGGACACTTTAAATGATTTGGGGCAATGTGGACACTGAAATGGTCGTTCGCTCGAATGCTTACGAATGTGAACATTGAGGCTAGATGTATTCTTATAGGCCTTTTGGCACTGTGGGCATATAAATTGTTCCTTTTCAGCATCTATTCTAGGCTCGTCAACAGCAAGAGGATTGCCAATTTCGTAGCGCTCCACGGTGCATTCTTCGTAGCTGTTTGAGCTTAGTTCAGTTTGTTCCTCCTTAATAGTTACTTCAGTATCCTTTACATCTTTGCTGCAGCCTATTTCATTATCTTGCTCGGCCAGCTTCGAGTTTTCAATTTCAAGCAGCTCGGACTGAACATTTACATCGCTGTTATTTGCGGAATGAGTTAAAATGTGTTCTTTGAAAAATGTAATATGGGTATAGATTTTTGGACAGTGTAGACATTTGTAAGCCCGGTGGCCAATATGAAAGCGCGTGTGTTCATCGAACTTGGCTTTCTCTGAAAAGAATTTTCTGCAGTGAGGACACTTAAAGACAGTTTTCCCCTTATGGGTAGATATGTGGGAGCGCAGAATCCCGAATATTTTAAATGATTTGGGGCAATGTGGACACTGAAATGGTCGTTCGCTCGAATGCATACGAATGTGAACATTGAAGCTAGATATATTCTTATAGACTTTTGGGCATTGTGGGCATATAAATTGTTTCTTTTTAGCATCTATTCTAGGCTCGTCAACAGCAAGAGGATTGAAAACTTCCTGGTGCTTCACGGTGCATTCTTCGTATCTTTTTAAGCTAGGTTCAGCTTGTTTCTCGTTCATAGTTTTTAAACTATTCTTTACTTCTTCGGTACAGCCTATTTCATTATCTTGCCCGGCCAGCTCCGAGTTTTCTATTTCAACCCGTTCAGACTGGACATTTACATCACTGTTATTTGCGTTATGAGTTAAAATGTGTTCTTTTAACATTGAAATAGTAGTATAGATTTTTGGGCAGTGTAGACATTTGTAAGCCCGGTGGCCAATATGAAAGCGCGTGTGTTCATCGTACTTGGCTTTCTCTATAAAGTATTTTCTGCAGTGCGGACACTTAAAGGCAGCTTTCCCCTCATGATTAGATATGTGGTTGCGCAGATGCATGGACTGTTTAAAGGCTTTGGGGCAATGTGGACACTGAAATGGTCGTTCGCACGTATGCGTACGAATGTGCGATTTGAGGGTAGATTTATTCTTATAGGCTTTTGGGCATTGTGGGCACATAAATTTTGTTTTGTTAGCATCTATTTTAGGCTCGTTAGCAGCAATAGTGCATTCTTTGTAGCTGTGTAAGCTTAGTTCAGTTTGTTCCTCCTCAATGTTTTTTAAACTATCCTTTACTTCTTTGCTGCAGCCTATATCTTTATCTTGCTCGGCCAGCTCCCAGTTTTCTATTTCAAGCAGCTCGGACCGGACACTAAGCTCGCTGTTGCTTAGATTTGTGTTATCGAGCAGTAGGCTAGACTGTCTTTGATTAACATCCCGAGAACTGAAATTACCTATGGGTGTATTTGCTTTGCATTCATCTTCGGACATGTATTCCATTTGATCCTCGGGCAATTCATTCCCAGGGCTCAACAATTCTTCTATATCCATCCCGAGCCGAACTATGTCTATCTCTTCCTCTGGCATTTCCATTTTTATTGCGGATTCCATCTTACTTTTATTTAGCTTTTCGCGTTACTTCTGATGGCTTTTCTCACACCTGCGCTGGAATGCAAATGCAAGTCGTAGAGACAATAAAAACCGATCGTTCAGGTTTTCCCATCCTTTTTGGCAGTGATGACGCGAGAAGAGACAAATATATGAAATGTAAGCAGATGGCTCTGGAAAGTGAACGTGCTCACACTTTATACATACTTGCATATCTTTAAGTGTTCTATAGAATCCAAAACCAAAAATGTACATACATATATGTGGACGCGGAAACAAAGGGGACCGACGTTTGGCTCACGCTCTCACAAGTCATAAGAAATTAAAGCAAGTGCTCTCGTCTGCGCTATGTAAACAACAATTCTTGCACACTTTTTGCAATTTGTCGATTCTTTTTGCGCTTAGTTAAATATACTAATTGCAATTCTTCAACAAAAAAAGATGGACAAAATTAATGGACAAGCAATCGAATTCACTGAATGTGTCACGATAGTTAGTTTATCGATGATTATTCACCGATGACAAGCACAAAGTATCGCAATGTCAGACCAAAACACAGGCAGTTTGTTAACTAAACGCGTGCCTATCTTCGAATTCTTGGCAAGCGTATAGGTTTAGGATTATTCAGTGTTATTTACCATATTTATGATGAGTTAGTAATAACAATATTTAAAGTATGCAGAAATAAATTGTAAGCAATATTCGAAAGGTATCGGCAATTCGTAGCGAACGCGCTCATCTCTAATTTGATTATTTTGCTGCGCCCTTATCAGTTGATAGCGTTGCCAACTGTATGCAAAATACTGGCAGCAGCGCAACACGCATTTGGCAACGCACACATGTATTTCGCACAACCAAAACGAACAGCAACATATAAACACACGCCTTCTAGCAGCGGCAGTGCATAATAATAATATTGTTAAGCTATGTGCTAGACAGGCGTGCGCCTACCGAGAGTAATAATCAATTTGCGGTAAAATGCGAAGCCAGAGCACAGCAGAGCCAGCAACAGATGCAAAATGTACCAATGACAAAGAAACTGCCGTTCCTGCTGATGTTGCGGAGCCTTCGCCTTCGCCGTCGCCGTCGTCGTCAAGGTCCGCGTCAAAGCCGACTGTACAGCGCGGCCTGAGCACAAAGGTGGCACTTGCACGGCTGCACGAGGACATTGAGAGTGTGCTGCTGGAACATGAGAGGGCCACCTCCGCAGAGAGGTAAACACGACCACAATCAATGACCTTTAAGTGTGTTATAACAATAAGCTCATTCCTATAACTTTTTCTTTTAGCTGCCATTGTAAGTTGCGTGCGGCATTCACGAAGCGTTACGACAGTCCTCTGGGCTGGCTGTCCATTGGCACAACGGTGTTGACCAGCGGCGCTCTCCTGATTACCGGCATGTACTGGCCCGCAATTTGTTTGCTGGTCATTCTGCTGCTGGATCTGTATGTGGTTATCAGGGAGAGCAATCTGCGACGCACGGAGATATTCCGGAAGACACGGCATGCATTGGGCGAACTGCGTCTGGCCGAACAGCATCTTAGCGAGAACTGGCATGCAACGAACTATCCACATTTGAGCAATCCGATGTCGCCGTGCGTCTCGTTGCAGTGGACCTATCGCGACGGACATATTGTCAACCTGCCGTGGGCGTTGCTGGTGCGCGGCGATTGCATTGTGCTGCGGCCGGGTCATATATCGCCTGGTCCCTGCCATGAGCTGCAGTCCAAGCGATTTTTCAATGCCAGCGAAATCTATGGCGTCTCCGCAGCACAGCTTGGTGATCCGCCTGTCAAGCCCATGGCACGTGCTCCGCTGCCGGATCTGGTCTGTTGTCTGGAACGCACACCCTATCTGGATAACTTGCGTTTATGCCTGAAGAACTCACTGAAGCGGCCGCCCACCATTTACAATCAACAACGCTATCTGGTGTGTAGTCTCTCGTACATCTTGCTATAATAATTAATAATACTTTTTTCGGCTGGCCACAGCTGGTCACCAAGTACATCCAACAATGGGGCTTCATTAGCGCTTTGATCATAACGCTTTTTGCGGGCCTGCTGCGTCTGCATGGCTATGGCCTGGCCACGGATGAGAAGCATAATTGGCGTCATGTACTGATTGGTTCGCCCGCGGCTGCTGTCATTCCATTGTTGCCGCTTGTTTTTCCACTGCTCTGGATATCCATGAATTTGTGGGGCATTGCGCGACTACAGTGCTTCCTGAAGACGCCACAGGCCATACTGGAGAAGACCACTAGTAAATCTTTTGAGGATTTGGACATAGATACACCCGGCTATGATTATGACAGCATCTCATTGATGCGCTCCAATGTGCTGCGCATCTGGACGCAACTGTGGCAGGGTGATAGCGAGCTGCTGCCACGTTCAGCGAATCTGGTGCAGGTGCTAGGCTCCATATCGGCGCTGTGCTGTGTGGATAAAAAGGGCATATTATCCTGGCCAAATCCCACCGCCGAGAAGGTCTTCTTTTTGCACAACACCGATGAGGAACCGCCAGATGATGGCAGCCAACTATCCGTGTCAACCGAAAGCGACAATGTGAACGATGCGGAGAACAAGGAGCGCGGCATTGTCGCCGAAGTGCTCGATCTCACACACGATCAGCACTGTCCATTTCGCCTGGAATTCGATGATCACGAGTGGAAGGCACACATCAAATCACTGAAGCCTTTGGGTAGGTATCGAACAAATGTGTATTGCATAATAGTTGATGTTGCTTTGTTATACACTCGAACCAGGTCTGGCCATTTTATTGAACACCTGCTCGCCGCTTACACATGAGCACTATGCACAGTTTTGTGGTCACGTCAGCGCCGTGGCGATGCTCGACAAAGATTTGGTGCCCGTAACAAATCGGTATGCGATGTTTGAGTCCAGTATGAAATGCCTATTGCATGGGTACGTAGTTCATTGCCATCAAAGTTGTTAGCCCTGTTTGCTTTAATCGAAACCAACATATTTGGTTTTTTTTTTTGTTTTTGGAACAATAATCGATTATATATTCCATATATTATCCATGCATATATTTATATATGCATATGCGGGAAATGTGTTGCCCACAATGAAATTCGTTTCATTTTGTTGGGGCAACTATTTTTCTCTCTTTTTTTTTTTTTGATTTTTGTTTTGATTGCAAAACACACGACACTTCAATTGGATCGATAAGCCCCCCATAGATATGTTTATATACATATAAAATATATACTATATAAACAAACATGCAATTGGTAAAGTTATACAACTCTTAAATAAATGTATTTTTGATTTCCTCCTATCCCAAAAAACAGCCTAAGCCAAATAATTTCTCAGCAAAATTGTAATTATTTCACTATCAAATCGAATTGGCTTTCTTATTTTGAGCAAATTATTTAGCTGTGTACATAAATATCCTTCGCCATCTAAAATTCAGCAAAACCTAACAAATTACCAGCTCCTTTTTTTTTTGATTTCACTAATTTGATATTTTTTAATATAACATCATTTTTGTACACATTAAATTAATTGATTTAACTTGTTTTTGTTGTTGTTGTGTCGTTGAGTGTACACTGTACTCATAGTTTGTTAATGAAAACGCACTTTCGTCCCACCCATGCGCCGCATCTATACTTAATTGGCATGCTATTTTAAGTAACAACAAGAATTATTATGTTGCCAAGAATGCTTAAATATATTTGGCCCCCATCTAGACATCTACCCAACCCCATATGCTCCCCCCTCCTATTTTATGTATTACGCTTGACTGACTGCCTGCATGCTCGCAACCAACCAACCCACCCATCCATCCATCCACCTTCACATGTCCAGCAGTTGTAACCAGTTCTAATCGGGTTTCTCTATATACATATATTATGTACAATCTGTTAAACCAGACGCTGTCTGTGCGAGCTAGCCAAACAAATTGGCTTCACCGATCATGCAACGGATCGCTTTGCCCTGGAGGGTCAACTGGCCAGCTATAGGCATTTGGTAAGCCCACTTGACAACCTTCCTAAGTTTTAATAATAGAACAATAGAAGCTGTGCTCATCAAATTGATACTTGTGATAGCCGAAAGTCGGCACCATATTTCTAACTATACAATCCCATATTGCCTGAGCTAGCTAAGCAATAAAATGTAATTAAAAGCCTGCCACGGAGCAGAGTGTGTTAACTAAAGCGCTTACATCAGCTTAACATTTCAACTGTTAGCGATTTCATGTAATAGCAAAGTATGTTAACATGCACAGTTATTTGCCATTAGAAAATGTTAATAACATTTGTTTTAAGAAAAATAGTTTAAAAAATATTTTAAATAACTTACGTTTATTTGAAATGCCTCTTCATCTACGTCCATTTACTTTACAGCAACCGGATGTGGTGCGTCGGGACATACGCTTTGCGCGCCAGCTGCAGCTGTCGACCAAGGTGAAGGTTCCATTTCCGCACTCCTTGTCGGTGGTGATGCGCGAGAATCCCGGCGGCTATCTGTCGCTATTCACACAGGGCACCGCGGACATTATACTGGACTGTTGCGATGATTTCTGGGACGGCAAGGATTTGCGACCATTGTCGCCGCAGGATCGCAAGCGTGCTTTGGACTTTTATCAGCGCAGCGCACTGACCTCCTACTGCACTGCGTTCGCCTATCGGCCGCTGCGTCATGGTATCCATGGAGCGCTGAGCGGACCGCTGCACAGCAACGGTCAGATCGCATATCTGGAGCTGCCGCCAGAGTCGAAGCTGCGCATGCAGCATGTGGACAAGTCGCACTGCGATTTCGAGGGCGGACACCATGTGAAGCTGAGTCACAGTATTAGCACCGACTCGCTGCTCTTTTCGGAAAGCAAGGATGAGGATTGCAACGATGTGGAGGGCTGCTTTGAGATGCAGTGCCATCAGGTGTTCATTGGCATGGTGACCATGCAGTATCAGGCACAAAATGACATTGTCCATTTGGTGGAGCGGCTGGAGCGAGCCTGCATACGCTTTGTGCACTTCAGCAAGGAGAACGAGTTGCGTTCGCGCGTCTTCTCCGAGAAGATGGGCCTCGAGTCCGGCTGGAATTGTCACATTTCGCTGCTCAGCGAACCGGAACCGGAGCCTCAAAAGCTGGCAAGCAGCAAAGCCAAGGATACGACGGACCATGGGCCGGGCAACAGCAAGTCGCTGAAGAATGCGGGTAAAATGCATGAGAACCATACAACCACCAACAAACCCACCATAGCCACCATTGCCACCAGCACCACCATCACAGATAGCGTTGCCATTCATCCATCCAGTGAACAGGTCATGTACATCCAGCCATCCGATGCAGTTGATGCAACGGCCACGCCCATTGTTAAACAGACTACCGATATTGTAGGTGATCCAATCGATGGCCCCAAATTGAGCTATTTACTCGAGCCGCCCAACAATTTAGAGTCCTCGAAAACGTTGAGTTGCTCAGCGCCCGGTGCCATATCCAATCCCGATGAGTGCAACAATGCCCCAAACGAGCATTCAGATGCTGCCGATGAGTTGGTTGCAGGTGGCCAGCCAGCTGGTGCAACCGTCGATGGAGAACCGAATGGGGAACGGCATAAGCAACGGCATTCACTGGACTCGGCCATGGATGAGAATTGCCGTTCGCTGAGCACGCTCACAGAGAGCACGGATCAGAGTGCGCCGATTAACTTTGATATGTCGAATCGGGCAAAGTTGCCGCGCGGCATTGAGAATATACGACCGCATCTGGAGCAGGTGGACAATGTGCCGTTGCAGGTGTCGCTGTTCACAGACTGCTCCGCGGAGGCGACACGCCAGATGCTGGACATTATGCAGTCATATGGCGAAATTGTTGTCTGCCTGGGCAGCTCGGCGAGCAATGATAATGCCAACATCTTCTTGCAGGCCGACTGCAGCATTGCTGTCGAACCGCTCTATCCGCAGGTGTGCCAGGATGTCGATGCCTACACGGAGGCCAATATACAGCACAATAAGCTACACTGGCAGCGTCAGTGTCAGGGCAAATCTTCAACCATGGACGGACCGTGCGAACAGTTGCTGGAGTCTGGCGCACGCGCCATGCAATCGCCCGCGCACACCGTCTCGCCCATCTATTTGAGCCGGCTGCTCAACTCGTTGCCCTGCTCGATAGCCATTTGTCGCGACGACCCGCTTTCGCTGGTGGCCATAATTGAACTGTCACGCCGCTTCTCGCTGGGCCTGTGGAATTGCATACAGTTCTGGGCCTGCTGTGCCGGCTCCATATCCATATTGAATGTGCTCTGCGCGTGCCTCTCACTGCCGCCGCTGCTAACTCCGCTGCTGGGCATCTATTTGATGTGTGTTCCTGTGCCATTGATTGCCATCTCGCTGGCGCACATCGATCTCGATCCGAAGATCATGAATCGTGCGACAAGCAAAAAGCAAACCGAATACGATTCACGTGCCTTTGCATTTGTCATGTGGTGCTACGGCTGCAAATTCCTGGTGCCCGTTCTGGCCGTGGTAAGTATTCCTGCGATTCCCTTTCAATATATATTTTATATAAATAACCTGATTCTGAAAGCTTGTTGGCTACTGGATGTGCATGACGCAAACGTTGTCCGGTCGCCTGCTGGACGATAGCTCTGATGAGCTGGAGGACATAGAGGCTGCTGAGAACGAAGCCGAATTCTATCAGTGTCTTTATATAGCGCGCAGTTGTGCTTTATTTGCTGTTCTGCTGCATTTTGGTAATCATAATACACAGTTGATCCAGCCAATCAGAAGGTATTCAAGTTTCTCCCTCTCTCTGCTTTTTTGCAGTGCTCGTGTCCTTGTCATTTGTGCATCGTGATCATGCGCTCTGGCAGCGCAATCCTTTGCGGAATCACATATGGGCGTCCACGTGCCTGGTGCTGTTGATGTTGCACGGCTTCGTCTGTGGACTGCAAATGTTGTTGGATGAGTCGCTGGAGCAGCTATTGCCACAGCTCTGGCTGCCCATTCTTGTGCTATTTGGCAGCAGCTTGCTGAGTCTCATCATCAGCGAGCTGGCCAAGCTGCAGGAGAACAAGTGAGTGCAGCTAACAAATACTTGCTTGAGTTATATATTTAATCAATGTTTTATGCTTTTGCAGAGTGAATGCGCGCTATCAGCGTCGGGCGCGACTCGATTTTGGCACCAAGCTGGGCATGAATTCGCCATTCTAAATGTAACCAAAACGAAAGACTTGGTAGCTTGGTGTTAGATGTGCCAAGGCTCTGTATATATCCTAAACCAAACGCTTTCTAATAATTACTATTATTATGTTGCTTTAGTACATATTGATTGATAATTTAATTCTTTAATGTGCCTGTGAATAAGTTGTTTTAATCTATTATTTAATGTATGCAACATTTTTAATTATTTGTGACATCCGCATTTCATGTTAGCTTTTAAAATGTTCGATTTTATTGTTGCTTGTTCCAATGACAAAACTTCTTGTACTAACATTTAAAAGACTTGCAATTATTATATAAATTATACATATTTCAAATAAAGACAACTGCGTGTAAATAAGTAAAAGTTATCGAATGAAAATATGTACTATTTGTCTAACGTATTTCTGCCTGCGTTCTTCTTTCTATGCTGCTATGTACTTTAATCCATATTTTTTCATAGAATCTGTAAATGAGCTGCGTCAATAATCTATGGCACGCCTGACCGGGTGTTAATCGACGCCGGCACGCAATTGCTGTGGCCATCTTTTGACCCACATCCATGGATTCTACGCAGCGATGTCGTTGACAAGTGCCCCAAGGGCTTCTTTTGTAGTCAAGAAATCTTTTAATTTGGCTTGTGTGCATGTAATGCATTAATCGCTGTAGCTATCTTGGTGTTTGATATTAATTAGCAGCTTCTTTTTCGAGTTAAGCAGCTCTCGACTTCATTCATGTGCGGCCAAGGGCCTGAATAATTGAGGTTCGACATAAGCCAAGTATTTTCGAAGCCCTGCATTGACTTTAAACTTTAAAACTTGAAGTGAGCAGGCTGCGGGTTCAAATCCACTGTTGCTGAAGGCCTTTAAGTGTCTAACAATTCAATTTTTGGTCGGTTTTTGTTGATCTTTTTTTAATAGTCTTGTTATATTTAGGGTCTAAACAAACCCATTTTTCCAAATATTTTGTTGTATTTTAATAATGCAAATCAGTTTATATAAAGAACTACTTTTAATAAATTACCTGAAAATGGTTTCAGGTGAACATTTAAACAAAATTTTGTTCCTTTTTTTGTCTTGAATAAGAACGCCGGACGGATTTGTCGCCAAATAATCTAAATAAAAGAAAACAAAATTTAAAAAAATCGAAATTCGAATTTAGAGCATATTTTATTATAGAAAATGTAAGCTTGAAGGCTCAAAGAAATTTAAGTTGATAAAAGTAGAAAAAGAAGGAAACGCAATTTTGTAAAAGTTTGTTCTAAAAAGAAAAAACTTGAAATGCTTAAAGAAATGTGTTGAAATTTCAGAAAATTTATAATAGGTGTAAAAGAGTATATACAGGTATTTATAAGGTTATTAATGAAATTTTATAATAAGTGTATACAGGTATATATAAGGTTAACTGAGCTTATATACTAACTAGTTCGTTAGTGTTGTGGGCATTCTTGCTGTTAATAAATCTGTTGCTTTCTAATTGGTTGCAAAATTGCGGACACACGCCCCAGTCGAGGCTTTGACGGACTGTGTGAAGAGTTGCCCAGAGATATTTTGGACACGCCGCTAAAGAACATAACGGCAGATGCGATCCCATATGTGGAGTAAGAATCAATTAACACCCGACGGCGACGACGACAGCGAAATGAAAGTGCATGAAGCAACTCATATATTAGAGTATATGGATGCTGTATATAGATCACTTCTAGTAGCACCTTAAGTGGGTCATGGAAAAACGAAATCAAATACCAATGCACGATGATGTCTTCGCGAGCCGACAAATAAAACCAATCCGGCCAAGAGTTTTTCAGTGGATTCGTGAATTTCGCGCTGCGCGTTGCACACGGAGTTATTACGGAGCTCGAGCGGACAATGACGAGTGCGTAGATCGTACGGATTTATAGTGTATCCATTAAGAATATATAAAAAAAAAAAAAAAAATTAAAAAACGAGAGAGATAATATCGCATAATGCCAGGAGCCGGCGCCAAGTGTGCGCTGCTTTTGGTCATTGGCCTGCTGCTGGGCTCCATCCTGTTGCCCGCGCAGATAGAGGCCTACTCCCAGGTGCTGGTCAGTGGCACAGATCAGGGACCGCGCATATTCAAGGCGCTGAACACGGATTTGATATTTCCCAAAACGTGAGTTAATTGGATTCAAAGCGTGCGCATTGCATAAACCACGTCATTTCCTGCAGCTTTAATTCGAGCGAAAATGTGGTGTCCACGACGACGACAACTGCATTACCGCTGCCAATACCATATAATCACCAGCCGGAGCCGGCTGCTGCCTCGGAGACGCCGTCCGCCGTCTTTGTTACGCCCTTGAGCGTAACGAACCCGGAGCATTCGGAGCTGCAGGCAGCGTCCAGCGAGGCGCCGCCGCTGGCCCTGGTGGAGGCGGCCTCCACTGGCCGTGCTGTGGACTATCGCACCACGTATCCATTTGGTCAGCTCATCACGCCGCTGATCAAGTCCGGGCGGCCGCAACAATTCAGTTCCAAGCCACGTCCCTCACAGAATCGCATCTACCCAAAGGGCAGTCGCTACCAGGCGCCAAATGGTGGCTACAAGCGTGGTTAGTATGGGGCAGCCGGGCTGCTTCAAGATGTCCACATCTTAAATATTCACACATTTCCAGGTCAAATTGCCGATCGTTTTGCGCCTGGCCAGGCTGTTGCCTCGAATATATTCAAGGAGCAGCATCAGCACGATCCGCACGACCACAGTCATGGCGGCAAATTGGCACTTGGCTCGAATGTGGTGCCCTCGTATTTGTCCACCAAGGATACGTACTCCTTTCCGCCGCTCAACACGAAATACCCATCGCCGGCGCAGGATCCCAAGGCGGCACAGCCCTCGGATACGATATCTAGCTATTTGCCGCCAGCTTCGGGCAACGATTTAAGCAATGCGGGCTACGTATATCCTGGTCCAGTGATGGGCTCCTCGGGCTATTCATATCCTAATCCCGGCAATGGTGATAAGAATACCGCCGCTAGCACAACCAGTTCGGTGCCCGCGGCCCAGCCAGACGACGATCCGGGCAACGATGACACGATTGGCGTGCTGCCTGCCAGTGCGCAGGATAACGCACCGCCCGCCAATAATCAAGCTGGCAAGGATGCTGGTGGTGCAGGTGCAGATGGAGATGCTCCAGATGCCAGCGGCGACACTGACAATGGTGGTAATGCGGGCGGCGACGATTCGCCTCTGCCAGCCCTGCAAACAGATGGTGCCCAGCCAAGTGATGACAACAAGTACGATCCTAGTATGGAATATGCAACTCCGCCGCCTGGCTGGCTGGATGCGCATCCGGAATCAGCAGCACCAAAGCCAGCAGATCACGATCATGACCACAGTCATGATCACGATCACATTCATGATCATGATCATGGTCACGACTATCCCGAGCATCCGCATCCACCGCCGCACTTCCATGATCATCATCACGATCATTATCCCGATCATTATCCGGACGTTTTTCCATCCTATCCGGATGTCTCTTATCCGGAACTGATATACGATGATCACCATCCACATCATCATCATCACCACGTGGAGCCACCACCACCGCCTCCACCGCCGCCGCCACCACCACCGCCACCAACTGAACCTCCACCGCCGCCCCCACCCCCGCCAGAACCACGTGTCAAAAAGTACAGTTACTTCTACATTGGTCGCAAGCTCTGGTACATACCTTTGTACTTCACCGTCTGGTTCAGCTTCTATATTCTGTGGCTAATCATCAAGTCCATTGGACGCCACAAGGTCAACTTGCCAAATCACTATGTCACGCGGCGCGGCTTGCCCGACTATACGGAGCAGAGTCGGGACGAGTACATTAACGATATGACGGTTAAGGTGCTGGAGCATATAGATAATTTTAAGCAAAAGTATTTGAACTGATAAGCACACTACAAACTAGTTACGGCTAATAAAACACGTATTTTTATATAAAAACAATAAAAGACCCGTTTTCTTTGGTTTGGAATGCAGAACTTTTGGCGCGAAGCTAAGTTGGCAGCGCCAAAAAAAAAATCATATTAACATATCGATAACATTTTCGATAACATTTTTGCAACGCATGCGGTCACATTTATTCAGACAGTCTGTCGCTTGGCATTTGTTTACGTTTAGTTATTTTTGCAAAAGAATACGATTAAAATCAATTCGCCAAAATGTCGTATATGTTACCGCATTTACACAATGGCTGGCAGGTGGACCAGGCCATACTCTCAGAGGAGGACCGAGTCGTTGTAAGTGTAAACCGGCCACGTTCGCCACAGACCAGCGGCGTCTCAAATATGCCAATTAACACCTTGCAACTATTCCAGGTCATACGCTTTGGACACGATTGGGATCCGGCGTGCATGAAAATGGACGAGGTGATGTACAGCATTGCCGAGAAGGTCAAAAACTTTGCGGTCATCTATTTGGTGGACATAACCGAGGTGCCCGATTTCAATAAAATGTACGAACTGTACGATCCCTGCACGGTCATGTTCTTTTTCCGCAACAAACATATTATGATTGATTTGGGCACCGGTAATAACAACAAAATCAACTGGCCGCTGGAGGATAAACAGGAAATGATTGACATTGTGGAGACGGTATATCGTGGCGCACGCAAAGGACGTGGTCTAGTCGTTTCGCCCAAGGATTACTCAACCAAATATAGATACTAAGTTCGAATTTGTTTAGTACAATAGTTTAGGCATTATATAGCTTGATTTTAGTTCAACATGAAATGTTTGTTGACTTTGGCCACTTTTGTGTATATTTTGCTTTTGGTTTATTATTTTTTTTTGTTGTCACATTTCTCAATAATATCGCTAACATTTACATCAATTTGGGTTTTTCTTTTTTTCTTTTATATATGTATAACATTTAACTAAGTTGTTTTTTTTTTTTTTTGAATAGCTCTTTGGCTTCGTAACTGTATTAAATAGTATAATTTTTCAATTGCTTTTCTCATGCTTAATGCCAGTTTTTACCAATTGTGATTTAAATTTAGCTAAAGATTATGGAAATCAGAAGTTGGATTGTGTGAAAAAAAAAACACTTTATAGAAATTGTATTAGTACAAAAGTATAAAAGCAAACGGCACAACAAAACGAGTCTCAAGTTAAACAATAAATAAAACATTTTCTAAAGTACATCTAGAGTTTCTTATGAATGCGCTGAACCATATCCAATACAATTTGGGTTTTCACTTATTATTATTCGTTTAATACAACAGCTCGGTTTTTATTTTGTGTTTCTTATTTTTGTAATAAGCTTAGGTTTAACAATTGGTTCTGCTACATTTCCTTTTGAGTTATACAATTTGTATTATTTTTTGCTTGCGTTTCTCTTTAAATATATATATATCTGCATATATATTTAGCTACATTATTAGTTAATATATATATATATTGTTTTTTGAAACAAATTTAACGCTACAATCGTTTTAAGTTTTTCATATTTGTTTTTTTTTTGGTTTTTCCATACTTCAGCATATATAACCAACAATTAAATATTTATATGTAAGTATATGTTTGTTGATTTTATAATTTTGATATACCATTTCCTAGGCGCCTGTCGAGTTGATTTTGCATCGTATAAAATACTTATTAGTATTCAAAAATATTTCAAATAGAGGGCTTGATTTACACTTATGCAATAGGATAGGTACAAATTAGGCTCAGGCAGGTGAGAAAGTCTCTAATCGATTTTTCGTTGAATATCTCTTCGCACAAACAACAAAATGCAGCTCTAGTTTTTCTTTAATATTATTGTAACATACATACATGTTCTCATTATGATTAGGTCTGTATTTTGATTTCAATTTTGTGGCTTCATTTTCTCTCTTTTTATTGAAAAATACAATTTTCTTTTTTTTTTGTTATTTTTTAATCAATTTTCTATATTTGCTATAACTTGTTCTCACTTGTGGAGCAAATGCATTTTCATAGAAAAATAGAGATGCGTAGGTGGGATGAGTTAGGAAATTGTTTCATACTATTTAAACATTTTTTTTTTTTCGTAACGCTATATTTTCTTTTTTTTTTTTTTTGCTTTTTGACAACTAGATTTTATTAGCATGATTCAACAATTTGCTTTCGAATGGCCATTTGAATTTGTCTCGCTTTTCTATCGGAAGAGTTGGGAAATGATAAGTCGGAGAAAGATTATACAAATTTGGAAAGCAACAGCAACAGCTATTTAGTTCGACTAATGCTTATCGTCTTTAAGTTCTCATCTATGTATGTTTGTTTAGGCTTGTTTCTGTCAGTGTACATCAGTTAAAGTTTTCATATGTGGCAAAGTTCTTGCTCTGTGCACAAACTATATAAAATTCCAATTTACAATACTTCAAGTATTTCGGTTTTTTTGTTTTTAGTTTTCTTTCCGGCTGCTGTTTAAGACACTAGTAGAAGAATGTTTTTCTTTTCTTTTCTTTTTTTTTCATTTTAGAAATAAAGTGAGGGAGACTGATATCTGCTGCTGGCTGCTGGCAAACTACGAGTACTATATAGAAATATATATATATCAATATATATTATGTATATGTATAAACATTTGCTCTGTTGCGCACAATATGTATATAAATATACATATATATTTATATGGTATGTATTTAATAGATAGTGTGAAAAATAAATCCGAGTATCACTACTTAAATTTTAGAGTTCTATTAACAATAATAGACAACAGTCTCTAAGTACGAATACGTTGTTGTTCTTCTGATTTTCTTTTTCGGTTTTTCTAAACGAATTTGTTTTTGTTTTTTATTTCTATGCGCTATACCCGAACTAGAGCCCTGCATCGCGTTTCGATAGTCGAACAATTATTATGGTTGGGCGAGTACTTGCACGAAACTTCGGTTCAATCGAAAAAAATCAGCTCCAGCTGATCGAGCGTGCTCCAAGCTCGACTATTTCGGTTGTGTTCGAGCTGATTGTCGCACGTTGACACAACTCAAACCGTGTCGAACATGTTTGCTGAATCAGGCAGTTCGAGCATCGTTCGAATGGATGTCGTCGGGTTCAGTGAATCGTTTATCGATAATTAAAAGCTCGAGTTTGTCGGTTATCGATTTAATCGATTGAGTATTCCAGTTTTATGCAAGTGATGTAACCCAATGCTGGGCTCTAGCTCAAACAAAACGCGTTTTGTAGTCCGCTTGGCTAGGCAACCCTGCTAGCTGCGGGTGACTACCCTAAAAGTCAGTTGTTAAGCTCTTGTATGGAACGGCCACCAGCTGGGCTAGAATAGCGTCTCTTTTGACCACTTTCTGGTGGTGCCGGGCAGACTGGGATCACGCTCCTCCTCCACACTTAGCCCATCAGCCCCATGCTCCCCCAACTCGTCCTCCTCCTCCTCGTCATCATCTTCGTCGGTTGGCAGCCGGATGAGCGGCAGCTCTAGCATAACAGCCGGCGTCGCTGTTGTCTCGTTGCTGTGCTGATTGAGATTGTGGGCACTTTTGCTAGACCCGCCGCCGCCGCCGGCGCCGCCGCGCAGAATGAGCTCCTTAAGCGTTGAGGGCATGCATATACTTTGCGGCCTACTGGTGGCTATCACTGAATCCGATATGGAGGAGGCGCACGGATCGTGGCCCAGTCTACTGTTGGATGGCAGTTGTGCTAGTTGCTGTGGAACTGTTACTGCTGCTCCCTGGCTAGCGGCAAGCGGTAGATTTGTGGCCTGGAACTGGCCACTGGAACACACATAATTATTGTCCATCTGTGGACTTGGACTGGTGGAATGACCCACACTGATGACCGTATTGAGGCTGCTGTATTGCGTTTGTGACGCCGATTCGCCGCCACAGCCAGAGGGACTCGAACCGGAAGCACCACCCACCGCATCCATTATGCCCAGCTCAGTGTTCAGCGTGGAGCATGTGTCCTCCTCAGTGGTTGTGGTGGTTGTCGTTGTTGTCGTCGTTGTCGTCTGCGGATCGCTGTGCTGCTGCAGCAGCTGTGCCCGACGCTGCGGCGGACTGTAGATGACAGCGCCGAAATGCGTTTCCAGTGGTGGCGCCATGGCGGCCCGATCACTGGAGGAAGCGCTAATGGTGCGATGACGCTGCAGCAGCGGACGTCTGGGACGTGCGCCCATCATGGGCACAGCGCTCAGGCTGAGTCGCTTGATGGGCAACACCATCTGTGCCTGTGGCTGTGGCAGCGGTTGCGTCGCCTGCGCTGCAGCCAGCGCCAGATTGTGCTCCTCACTGTCGCTGCTCAGCTGCTGCATATCATCGTCTGTGTCGGCGGCGCTCTCCTCCAGCCCGAACACCGAGTCCTCTTCCAGTGAGCGCAGCTCCGAGTCTGGGCATTCCAGCGAGGAAATCTTAAAGGAACTTAACGATGCAAGCGGCGCACGCTTGCCCTCATTCACCAGCGCATTGTGCAGCACCTTGGCCGAAATGGTGCCCAGGCTGCCACTGGCGCTGCCGCTGCCGCCGTTCAGCCGATCCAGGCTAATTGGCGTGCTGTCCACACTGATGCTGCTGGAGGTGGCATTGCCCGGTGCAGCCGCATTAGGCGTGTACGGGTAGCTGTTGTTGTTGCTCTCCACGTTCCGCTGCAGCTCGACCAACGTCAGCTTGCGACGCACGCCCAGACGCAGCTCCTCCGAGGGCGAGTCGCAGAAATGAAAGGCCTGCTGCTGGTGCCGACTGGCGGGCGGCGCCGATTGCAGCGGCTTGGCCAGCGGCAGAGCCAGGTCCACGCTTTCCGACAGCGTGCTCTGATTATAGGGATACACGTCCACCGTGTCCGCGCTGATCGAGTGAATCTGCTGCTTGCGTCCGGCCTGTGCGCTCTCCGGATCATACGAGACAATGCTGTGCTTGCGCTTAATGCTGGGCGCGCTTAAACCAAGTGGTGTGCTCTTCGCGTGCGCCTGATTGTGCGTGGCGGGCTCATGTATGCTGCGCTCCGATGGACACGGCGAGGCCTTCGGCGTCGGCTGTATCACCTGTATGTCCGGATAATAGTAGTCCCAGTTCTCTATGCTCGATGTGCGCGACGCCGTCGACAATTTGCGCTGCAGCGTCGGCGGCAGATTGCTCATGCCCAGCGTATAGGCCGAGGTGCGACGCTCCAGGTAGGAGCTATCCGTGCTGCAGCAAGTCATCGCGCTGCTGCGACGCGAATCCTGACCCTGTGGCGAAAGAAGCAGAATGTAAGAACGGGCTTAAACTTGGTTTTCAAGCGCCATCAAGATGTCTTAACCTAACCCGGCAACTATTATTTAGCCAAATCTTATCTATATCGGACAACTTTATCATACAGCTCAATAGGGAGAAGAGCTGGAAGTCAGAGGAATCATTTCAAATGGAACCTATGTTTCGAATACCCCGGCCAGGCCCAGCTAAGCAGCACAATAGGAGATGCTATTTGGTTCGCCTTCAAAGTCGCCCACTCACCGCCATCGGCACGGACAGAAACCCCTGTTTGCTGCGTGTGGAATCTGTGCGTTTGTGCAGCTGCTCCTGTTCGTCGTTCTGTGCGTCACGCTGCATATACTCCTCGTGCTCCAGTTCGTCCTCGGTTTCCATAAAGTAATCGTCAGTGCCAAAGCTGCCGCCCATTGGATAATTACTAAAGATGCGCGAAGATTCTGAGCCGCTTTTGCGGCGTCCGTGCGCACCAGCAGCACCGCCGCCGGGCGACATGGCCGAGTAGGAAAAGCGACGCGGTGGCTCCAGCAAATAGCTATAGCCCACCGGGCCGGGCACACCAACGCCACCTGCAAGAGCATGGGATTAGAGCATGACAGATCAGGCGCAAGGGTGGTTACGTGCACGGGACTTACCCACGGATGCGCAGCGATAGCCGCGATTGAGCAGCGGTGGCGCGCTTACATTGCCCAGGGAGAGCATGCGCTGGCGTCTATATACCAGTGCATCATACTCGTCCGGGTAGATGGACATGCCCGTGGCAACAATTGCCTCCTGCAGTTCACGCTCCTCCTCCTCCTGCATGCAAACAGCGGCCACCGCTGCCATTTTGGGATCTTTAAGCACCTTGAGCGTCTCATTGCTACTGCTGCGGCTCTTCCACACGATGAGGAACACCATCAGACCAAAGAAACCGCCCAGCGTGGCCGCAATGCGCACACCCGTCATCACGTCGTAGGTGGCAAAGAATTCCTCACGTATGCGCGCCCGTTCGGCGGCATTTTCTGCATCGGTCAGATTGCGCTCGCCGGGCGGCAGTAGCGGCAAATAGGGCTTAGGTGTGGCTGGAGCGGGCTTGCGTGTTGCACTTGTCGAGGAGGAGGAGGAGGAGGAGCTGGTGGCGGCAGTGTTGCTGTTCTGATTGGAGTACGCCGGCGGTGCCGGTGATGCTGAGAACGGTTCGTGTACACCAACATTTGCGTCTGGATCAACAAAGGCAGCCAGTTGAGGGTTATTGTTCTTGGATGCACGCGTGATGCGTTGCAGTTGTTGTGGCTGGCCTGAGCCGCGGGCATGACTAGTTGCTGTTGTTCTTGTTGTTGTTGTGCCAGTTGGGCCTGTTGTTGTTGTTGTTGCTGCTGTTGCTGTTGACGGCGTTGCTGCAGACGACGGAGCACGTCGTGAAAGTTTGGCCATCTCTATTGAAACATTGTCTAGAAAGAAAAAAAAGGGAACAATTAGCATTGCAAATGGCGCTTTAAAATTAACTGTATAAACTAAAGGCAAGCGCTGCCAGCTCGACGTTGAGCTATTGTGAATATTAACAAATGGCGTTGCCAGAGGGACAGAAATAAATTTGCGTATATCGATAATAAACGCGGGGCATAAATCTAAATATTTGAATTTTAACAATTTTTTTTTAAACGTTCTCAAGAGCTTTAAATCGTTTTACTGTTAGTTTCTAGCAGTCGCAAAAAGTATGCTACGCTTTTATGTGCTTGAATAAATTGTGAAACTCTCTCGGCGGCATTTTCAATCTAGTCACGCCGCCGCCTACACTGCAATTAAAATGCCATAAACTCATCCACATTTCTTGGCGCATTCTTCGCGAGCTGTGCAAAGTTTTTAATTGTTTTTTTTTCTTTTTTTTTTTAGCGCTTACTTTTCACATTGCTGCGCAGCGCGTTTCACACGCTATGCAGAAATTCCCTTTGGGAAATAACTTGGTACATTTTTTAACTTTCTGTTGAAATGAGTCAATTAAAGTTACATTCATATATTTACGAGTGTGTGTGCGTGTGTGTGTGTGAGTGTGTGTGGCTCCGTTACATCCTTGGATTCTCAACAAGTTGCACGCTCAATAATTCAGAAGGACGAATCGCCTGTTGCCTGCTGCCTGCTGCCTACCCCCCACCCACCTGATGTTTGTCCTGTGCTGCCCGCTGCTGGCTCATTGTCATTGGCAGGCACCCTGTACACCCTGTACGCACCCACACACACACACACACACACACCCTGTTCAGTTGCCGCCCATCTAATTGTTCGTTTTTGTATTGACAGCCGCGCAGTTGCGGAGCTGCGCTCTGCTGAATTTTCTATCTGAGTTGTGTTTTTTTATTTTTGCCTTCAATTTGCCCTGCTTTTTGTTTTTTTTTTTTTTTCTTTTTTGTTTTATGTACTTATGCCATATTGTGTGTTTCTTTTATTTGGTATCCTGGCCAAGGACGCGCTGACCATCGGTAGCTTCCAAATGTATTATTGTAAAAGTTCTGGTCTAATGTGCCGCTCCTTTACCTTGGATCTGTATTCTTTATATCTGTGTGTGTGTGTTCATTTTTTTTTCTTCATTTTTTCGTTTCGTTTTTTGCAGCTTGTTTCCATTCTTTTCATTTCCAATTTTGTAGATTGCTTGGGCAGACAAAAAAAGTTTTAATGGCCATTATGCGTTGGCTATAATTCGTGTTCCTTTTCCCTGTGCAGCATAATGAGGCGCAAATGTGAAGCGAAATTGCAGTCTAAGCACTTTCAACTGATTTTTAATGACTTTTCAGTTTTGTATTTTTTGCCATTTTTTTTCCTTTTAATGCCTCTTATTCTTAACCAAAAAGGGCAATAAAATAAATTGTTTGTAAACAGCTAGGTTAAGCATATTATCATGTTGATAAAGGAAAATAAAATTAAGCAAATCGAGTTAGCTAACAAATTATGGAATTTACAAGTAAGAGGTTCTAGTCGGAAGTTCCCGACTAGGGGATACCCTGAAACCTCTTCTTCCAACATCAAATGCAGATATATATTCTATTTAAGAAGCTATATGTCAAGTTTGGTGACTCTAGCTCTTATTATTTACCAAAATTGCCCAAAAAACAGGATATCGATATCGATTTTTATCGATTGCTTGGAAACGGAGCATGTTATCGATTATCGGAAACAAACTCGATCTACGCGGGAACTAGGAGCGTCTACATCTAAAATTTCAAGTTTCTAGCTCTTATATAGCTAGATCGACTCGGCTATTGATGCTGATCAAGAATATATATACTTTATGGGGTCGGAGATGCTTCCTTCTGCCTGTTACATACATTTGGATTTTGCACAAATACAATATACCCTTATACCCATTTTTAATGGGTTCAGGGTATAAAAAATCAAAATGTATATGTTTTAAAGGTAAGGTTGTCTCAGATAAGAAATTGTGAATGTCTCCTATATTATAAGCCATAATCTTAAAGACAAATCCCAGTTAGTACATTCAATATTGTTATCGATAACGATTCACAAGAGTGCTATCGATAGCTTTTTAATTATGTAGTCGAGAAACTTTGCACGGTCTAACTAACTAAGAAAAACAAATCTTCAGCATTTGCTACTCACACTAAATTCAACTTTTCTTTTATACCATTGGGAATTGTGGTTTTTGGTACTTTGAATAAGTTGCAGCTTCCTTTGGGCAAACATGCACACACACACACACATACATACATACATGGGCTATATTACGCCCTAGAAAAAGTGTTGAAGCTACTTATTTGAACGAATTGATGGATTACCAAGCTCGTGGGGATTTAGCTGGGCGGCTACACAAAACTGTTAATTGCGTTTAGCTGGCTCAAGCAAAAGTCGAGCAAAACAACGCACAGAGTGAGAGTGAGAGAGAGAGAGAGAGAGAGGGAGAGAGAGGACGAGGTATAGGCAATACGTAGAATAACATGAACATTAACGATGTCGAAAGTGTATATCAACACCATATCGATGTCAAGGCAATGTGCGGGGTAGGGATACGGGTCGAAATGAGCGGAAAATGGTCAGCCAGGCTAACAGAGCAACATGTTGTTGTTGGTGTTGTTGTTGCTGTTGCTGTGCATGATGAATGATTGCGGTTAGACAGGGAGAGCACATACAATGGCAAAGGCAACGGCAAACACCGTTGACAGGCGGCCTCAACTTGACTTGGCACACGCTGCGTATGTGTTATGTGTGTATCTGTGTGTGTGTGCGTTGCGAGGACGGAACAATAATACATCAATGTTAGCGTCATGTTGCCGCTGTGTGTGTGTGTATTATTTTCTCCTTTTTCTGTGCATTTGTTGCCGCAGGCCATTTTTGCCTTTTAACGGAGCCCAAAATCAAATTGACGGCAAATCAATTGAAATTACATAGATATGTATAAATACACACACACACATGTATTATCTGGACATATGTGTGTATGGCCGACTAACAATGTCTTCATTGTTGTTGTGCGTGTGTCTGTATGTGTGTGTGTGTGTGTGTGTGTGCATTTGCCACATACGCATTGAGCTGTTCTTTGAGTTTTGCTTCGACAAAGAAATCATTCATGTGTATTGAGGCGCAAATACACAAAAATTTATAAGCACACTCCGGTACACTTCAATAGCGACACCTACTATATATATATAAGATCTAGAGACAAAAGATTTAAAAGGGATATAAAAAATACATTCAAATACAATCAGAGGAATAAGTTAATATTAAAATAAAATTGTAAAATATAAGAAATTTACTTTTTGTATATTAATAATATAATAATATGTAATCTATATTGATTTTAATTTTTTGAAAACAAAAAGGTTTTTTATTTTACGTAAAAAGAAAAACGTTTATATTCTCTTTAATAATATAAATTCCAGATGGCATTAAAAGTATCGAAACTTTAAAATCAGGTTTATTAAGCTGCCATTAAACTTAGCTTAAGCCATCTGTTTCTATGCAAATGCGCAGCACTGTAATCTGAAGCACAATAACCACAACAAGCAACGAACACACCTATTTACCCCATAAGCTGCTTTCACAAGCATTAAGCAAATGAAAATGGAAATTAAAATGAAAATGCAAAATATATAGATATTATTTCGGACGATATGCTAAGCGCTTGTATTATTTTTAATTAATTTAAATGTCTGCATAAGCTGCTGAAATGATTAGAATTACAAATTGTTGGCCGCAAGATTGTTAGAGGGGGCAGGGATGAGGGGTGCGATTGGCTTTTAAAGAGCCAAGTCAAGGCTAAGGCTCTTGTGTCTAGCTGCCTGGCTGTCCGGCTTATTAGCGTGTATTTTGTCTATGGCGCCAGTTTCAGTCAAATTATGTGGCACGCCCTCTTACCCCGGCACGCCCCGCCCACAGCCGTGGGCCATTTAACAAACATTTCGTTAATCTGGTACACTTGGCAGGATCTCTGGCTCCTGTTCCGACCCCCCACGTCCTTGCCGGTGTACATCCTTGCCCATGTTGTGCTGCTGCTGCTGTTGTTACTGCTTATTGTTGTGCCTTTATTGTTATGGCCATGTTTTTTGTTGTTTTCATTTGGCGGCATTGTTAGCCGCGCCCCCGCCCGCTGTGCCCCGCCCCGCGAACGCTGCTGCGTGTGTGCTTGTCTGTTCATTTGTATTTTCTGTATACCCTGTACTCTGATGAAAATGGGTGGCAAGTAGGTGCGTATTCGGTTTGTGTACATTTATTTGCCAAGCTCTGAACCCATCGATAAATATATATATATATATATATATATATATATATATATACAGAGAGCTACAGCGGCTGACTTTAAAATTCAAATCTAGTCTCCCATTACCGCATAATCGATAAATATCGATGTGTATACTTCTTTTTATTTAGCATCTATCGTAGGTTGCAGGAGTACAAGTTTAAATTATGAAATTGTTATCATAATATCTAGATTATGATAGATTATTTATAAAATCGATAAATGAATAAGTTAAAGTTGAGAAATCGGTTGTAAATTATCGATAGCTCTCGTTAATAACCCAAAATCGATAAATATCGATATCGATCTGCGAGTTTTTGAGTGTAACTTGCAGTTTAAACTAAAAGTAGGTACGAAACGAAAAATATTGGGCAAAGCAGAAGCACCTGTTAAGCTCGCTGAGAGCTTGGCACAGGGTATCTTTCAGTCGACTACACACGATAGCGGCACTTGCCTTGGTCTTTTTTGTGTCTTAAATGTTAAGCGTTTTCCGTTTATGAGCACGAGTCAGACAGAGGCAAGCATTAGGGCACGCCCATGCCATTTGCATCATTTATTTCATTTCAAATGTGGCCTTAAAAACAAACTGAAATATCCTTTAAATTGCATTCGGGCTGTTATTGTTGTTGTTTTGCCTTTGCTGCGCATTGACGCACAAATAATGCGCTTAAAGCGAACGTTTTTGGCCATTTGTGAAATTCGATT